TCTAAGAGACTTATGGAACCACCATCAAGCCAATACACACATTATGGAAGAGAGAGGGGCAGAAAGCTTATTTAAAGAAATAATGCCCATTCTCTAAATGTTCCAAACAATATAAATTTGAGGAAAGAAACAAGCATACTAATTCAAGAAGCTCAATGAACTACCAGTAAGATAAAGCCAGAATACTAAGACATAACCACAAACTATTGTAAGTTAAAAAAAAAAAAAATTAAAAAGCAACTCATCATTTACCAGGGAGCACTATAAGATTTTAGATTTCTCAGCAGAACAGAACACAGAGCAATGATATATTCAAGGTGCTAAAATTAAAAAACCAAGAATATATTCAAGGTGCTGAAATTAAAAAAACAAAATCAGGCAAAAACAATTCTTCAAAAATGAAGGAAAAGTTAGGACTTTGTCTCCATGCTGAGGGAGTTCATTACCATTAGACCAACCCTAGGAGAAATGCCAAAAGGAATCTTACATGTTAAAGAAAAGGGACACTACATAGCAATACAAGACCAATGAAAATATAACGTTCTCCGGTAAAAGTAAATATGTAAACAAAGATAGAAACTACAATAATATATGTTTATTGTAGTTTTTGCATTTACATTCACTTTTATTTAATCTTGCATAGAATTTAAATAGCAAAAGCATAGAAATAAATCTATATTAATGGCATACAATATATATAGATATAATATGTAAACTGAGGTACATGCAAAGCTATAAAGGAGTTTTTATGTGGTTCAAGTTGTTACCAGTTGAAAATAGATTGTTGTAACACATTAAAATTTTTTGTATAATTACCCATGATAATCACAAGGAAAATATCTCAAAATATACACAAGGAAATGAAAAAGGAATCAAAGCACGTAACACATACATGTAAGTAAAAAAAAAAAAATGCAAACACAAAGGCAGTAAAAGAGGAAATGAGGGACAAAAGGCTATGAGACACAGAAAATAATTATTAAAACAGCAATAGTAAGTTCTTTCCATTCAGAAATTGTGTCATATGGAAATAGACTGAACTCCCCAATCAAAAGACTTATATTGGCTGAATAGATTTTTTTTAAAGATTCACCTATATGCTATTTATAGGAGACTCACTTAGATCTAAGGACACACACTGGTTATCATTTGCATAGAATTTTAGCCTGAGAGAGCAGAAATGGCCACATTCATATCAGGCAAAATAGATTTTAAGTCAAAAACTGCTACAAAAACCAAAGACAGACTCATTAGCATCACTGAATGATAAAAGGTCAATTCACCAGGAAGTTATAATAATATATGCACCAAATATCAGAGTTCCTAACTATATGACACAAACATTGACAAAACTGAAGAAATAACATCGTACAATAGAAGGAGACTTTAATACCTCACTTTCAATAATGGACAGAACCACCAGACAGAAGTTCAAAGAAAAGAGAACTAGAATAACACTATAGACCAGTTGCACTGTAAAAACTGTAAACAGAATACTCCATCCAATGACAGACAGATACACATTCCTGTCTAGTGTACATGCAACATTCTCTAGGATTGAATAAAATAGGCCATGTTCTTTTTTCTTTCTTTCTTTCTTTCTTTTTTTTTTTTAAAGCAGGTTGGGGTTTGGAGATTGGATCCAGGGACCTTTTACCACTGAATTACAGAACTTTTTATTTTATTTTGACACAGGGTCTTGCTAAGTTGCTGAGGCTGGCCTCAAAAACTTGTGAAATCTCCTACCTCAGCCTACTGAGTCAGTGGGATTGCACGCATGTGCCATCATGTCTGGCTAAAATAGGCCTCAAATCTTAAGTTTTAAAAGACTAAAATGATGTAAAGAATGTTTTCCGATCACAATGGAGTGAAACCAGAAATCAATTGCAAAAGGAAAACTGGAAAATCCACAAATATGTAGAAATTAAATAACATACTGTTAGTCAAAAAATAAATCACAAGGGAAAGTGGGACATATCTCCAAAGAAAAGAAAATATGCCAAATCAAAACGGATGCTGCAAATGCAGTGCTAAGAGAGAAGCTGGTAGCTACAAAACCTTACATTAAAAAAGATCTCAAGTCAACAATCTCACCTCTCTATACCTCAAGGAACTAGAGAACGGACAAACTAAACTCAAAACTAGCAGAAGGAAAGGAAGATTAGGGCAGAGACAAATGAAATGGAGAGCAGAAAAACAATAGGGGAAAAAAAAATCAACCAAACTAAGAATTGAATTTTTGAATCAACAAAATTGGCAAACCTTTAACTAGATAAAAAGGGAAAGAGATTCAAATATTTTTAAAATTAGAAATGAAAGAGGAGCGGGTATGGTGGCCACATCTGTAATCCCATCTACTCTGCAGGCTGAGGAAGGAGGATTTCAGGTTTAAGGCCAACCTAGGCAATTTAACAAGACCCACAGTCTCAAAAATAAAAAGTGGGCTGGGGATATAACTCACTGGTAGAGCACCACTGGGCTCAATCCCTAGTACTGCAAAAGTAAACAAAGCAAAAGTGACATACCTAAATTTATAAAACTCTTAGAAGAAAATGGGGGAAATTTTTCACAACACTGGATTTGGCAATGATTCTTCTTGGACATGACACCAAAAGCACATGCAACAAAACAAGAAACAAACAAATGTGCCGCAGTCTGGCTGGGCACAAATCATGAGCCACTGAAGCAGGAACAAACTTTATTTCTGAACTCCACCAGCACACTCCACACACGCTCCTCTACCGAATACAGCTCCTCCTGGAACCACCAACCGGAAATCCTTCCTCCGGAAATCCCTCCTCCGGAAATCCCTCCTCCCACACTTCCCCAACCAATGGGAACTCTCTGGGAAGGGTGGGGGACAGGGACGGACTCCAAAGTAGCAGGGTGGACAGCAGGGGTCTAATATACAATTGAATACACAGCTTAACATAACCATTACCATCATCTCAATGGCTTGCTGGCATCACCTCTCAACCACTCCGTTCTGGCAAAAATGCCATGCGTCATTCCGACTCGGCTTTGGCTCTCAGCACAAATGGAATTATATTACACTTAAAAACTTCTGACTTCTATGCAAAGGACACAATTAACAGAGTAAAAAACACAACGTATGGAATGGGAGAAAATACTTGCAAATAATATATCTAAGTTAACACCCAGAATATATAGGACTACAACTCATCAACAACAAAAATAATCCAATATAAAAATGGGCAAAGGTTTGAATAGACACTTCTCCAAAGATAATACCTAAATGGCCAGAAAACAAAAAAAAAAATATGAAAAGATGCTGAATGTGATTAATTATAAGAGAAACACAAATCAATACCAGAATGAGCTATCACATCATACCCATTAAGATGGCTGCTATAAAAAAAAAAGAAAAGGAAAAGTAACCCATTGATGTAGATGGAGAGAAACCAGAAGCCCTGTACACTCTTGGTGAAAATGTAAAATAGTATTGCCACTATGACAGCAGTATGGAGCTTCCTCAAAAATTAAAAATGGAATTACTATATGATCCAGCAATTCTACTCACTAGGGACTGAACGTTTGTATCACATCAAAATTCATATGTTGAAACCCTAAGGAGTCTTTGGGAAGTAATTATGTCATGAAGGCAGAGCCCTCATGAATGGGATTTGTGTCAGAGAGAGAGAGAGAGAGAGAGAGATTATACCTACTACATGAGGATTCAGCTAGAAGGCATATATACAAGAGAACTGAAAGCAAAATCTCAAAGAAATATTCATAGCTACATTATTCACATTAGCCAGGATATGGAAGCAACCCAAATTTCCACTGACAGATGGATGGGTGAACAAAATGTGATATATACATACAATGAAATAATATTCAGCCTTAATTAAAAAGGAAGGAAATGCTGTCATACACCTGTAATCCCAGCTACTTGGAAGGCTGAGGCAGGAGGATCACAAGCTCAAATTTAGCCTGGGCAACTTAACAAGACCCTGTCTCAAAATCAACAAAAATAAATGGGGACATAACTCAGCAGTAAAGTGCTGCGCAGCCTGTTTCAGTCCCCAGTACCCAATTTTTTTTTTTTTTATAGAAAGCAGGGGATCAGGATGGTGGATCCTATTACATACAATAACATGGATGAACCTTGAGGACATTATAGTGAGTGAAATAATCTAGTCACAAAAAGACGAATTCCATATGGTTCCACTATATGAGATAACTAAAGTAGTCGAATTCATAGACTCAGAAAGCAGAATGGTGGGTGCTAGGAGAAGAAGTAGTACAGGGAGTTTAATGGGTGGAGAGTTGCGCTTTATGAAATGAAAAAATTCTAAAGATCTGTTGCAGAACAACATGAATCTACTTCACACAACTGAATTGTACACTTCAAAGTACTCTGATGCTTTACTTAAGATGGTAAATTCTACATTACGTGTTTTGTTTTTAACCACATTTTTCTTTAAAAAAAAAAAAAAAAGCAAGTAAGTAGTTCCAAATGGCCCAACTTGCATAAGTCTGATGGGGATGGGTTTAGTGTGGAGGAGAACAAGTATAATGATCTCCCACCGTGATGTTATGCATACTGAAGAAGGAGTAGTTTTTCGGTGGGGAGGAGTTTGGTTTTTTCTCACTGAAAGTAGACTACATAGCTTGCTATGAATAACACAAGACAAATCCTTAGACATTTTTGGAGAGAGAGAGAAAAAAAAAGCTGATTTCATCTATCAAACTGGATCTTTTAGCATGTCCTAATGGATTATGGACAAAGTGAATGTCCCTGCATGATCTTGCTGTGCCCTAACCAGGGATGAGTCTCAGATAACTCACCCTTGCAAAGTCTATTTGCTTCTGAATATCCTAATAGACTTGACAGCCCATCCCCCCTGGAATGGCTGCCCTTCATCCCGTGGTTACTTTTAAAGTGAGAGATGATATGTTTTGTCCAATAGTAGTAACCTTATTTTTATTTCCATATCTTCATTTTGCTAGTACAGGATAACAATAGTAATCTCAACTTGTCTTTTAGTCATTTATTCAAAGGTCAAATTTATCATACAAAGAATGGCAGACTAATTGCCATGATAATGTTGTAACTTAGTGAGCACCTACTGCAAATTGTGCACTGGACTGGGCAATTGTCCCACTTGATGGTCTATTCTAAACTGTACTTTAAATAGATATTGTTCTTAATTTAGAATGTAAACCCAAGAAATTAACTTACTTGCCCAAGGTCCACACAGCTAGCCTGGGAGTGCTAGGATTCAAATAGGACTGTCATAAACCTAAGCCTGCACTCATTCTAATGCATTCTATCCACTCTCTAGACACAGAGTTACAAGTAGTGTCTAATCAAATCATTTTATTTCAAATGAAAAGAGAAAAATATTCTTTTTTCCTCTAGTTTACTTATTTACTAAAGAGTAGATGGTTCAAAGCAATATTCTCTGCTTTTCCTATTTATTCCTTCTCTTAATATGAGGACAGAAAAATACTGGTACCTAATCAGAAAATTTATTTTTAGACATACTAAAAATTAGTACAGATGCTTTCTATGATAACATGTTCCATTCATGTTGACCACTATTCTTTTCATAGACAAAATTTAACAATCTCCATTGCCTAGTCCATTTAACTTAATGAACTGGTGAGCACTGGAATTCCAAAATTGTTAAATTGGGATCTTAAGACTAGCACTAAATTTTTTAATAGAGAAGAAAAAATTATTTACTTAAAAATGCATATATTTTTCATCTCACATTTCTCATAGCAGAAAATATAACATGTATATGAATTTTTTTTATAATACCTAACAAGAGGAAATGCTTATTTCTTTCTAAAATGTTCAGGCTACTCATTAAAATTGGTATTTGAAAAAACATTCGATATTTGTTAATACTGAAAAATGTTCACAGTTGTTACCACTTCTTAAGAATGAGGGAGACCTGACTTCCTGTTTTTCTCTTGTTAATCTGTGTCGTGTTAGAAAGAGGGAACAGGCAAGGGCTCCAGGAAGGTGTGGTGACTCTGAATTCGGTTTAGAAGCTGCTGTGCCACGGGTTTGAATTCTGTTTCCCAGTGGAGTTTGTGATAGTTTTTTAGGTCTTGGTCAAAACTGCCATCCAGTGCTAGTTCTTCATCTGTATCAGAAAAATGAGAATTAAAGCAATTATTTGAAAATGTAATCCTCTTGAAAAGAGTTGAATTTTTGATGACATGAATTAAACTCATCTTGGGTCACCATTAATAACAACATGACACTAGATAAGATTTTTTGTTTGTACTTTTTTTCAATTTTTTTTTAGTTATAGTTGGGCACAATATACCTTTATTTTATTTGTTTATTTTTATGTGGTGCTGAGGGTTGAATCCAGTCCCTCGCACATGCTAGGCAAGCACTCTACTGCTGAGCCACAACTTCAGCCCTGTTTGTCTCTTTTTTAAGACAGGGTCTTGTTCTGTTGCCCAAGCTGGTATGGCACTCCTGGGCTCAAGTGCTCTCCCATCTTAGCCTGTAGAGCAGCTAGAACCACAGGTGTGTACCACTGCACTCAGCAGAAAAGGCTTTTTTTTTTTAACGGGAAAAGTTCTTTACTCTCCATTGTTCTTTACAAATATTTAAAAACAAGTATATTTTAGTCTTTTAATTTAAATGGGCAACAATTTTCTAAAAAAAAAAGATTAAACTGAGCTCTTTTCTCAACTAAATTTTTTTTACATAAATTTGCATCCAAAAGTCAGATCACAATTTATCAGAATAAACAAAGTAAGATTTCTTCCTTACATGCACATTAGAAAGTTAATTATTTCAATAATTGATAGATATAAAATGAGTCAGGAAATGTTAGGAAAGTAGGCCAGTTGAAATTGACACTTTAAATTTTTATGAAGGCCGTGGAGCACACCCATAATCAAAATTACTCAGGAGGCTGATGCAGGAGGATCACAAGTTCAACAAGGCCAGCCTTGGCAACTTAGCAAGACTCTGTCTCAAAAAAATAAAAAGGATTGGGGTATAGCTCAGTAGTAAAAGTGCCCCTGGGTTCAGTCGCTGGTATAAAATAACAACAACAACAACAACTTTCCTGAAGGGTTTGAAATGGAAGTCAGTAATAGAGCATTTGCCTAGCCATCTGTGAGACCCAGGTCATAGCAAAAATAAACTTTACAGAAAATTAGAACTTTGCTGACTTCAAAGCAGCTGGGATATATTTCTTTGAAAAAACAATCCATCCTCACACTCCCCAATAACTGAAAACTGGGGTACTTTAAGAAAGAATATCATAGTCCCAAGCAAAACCATGGATAATGTGGAAAAGCACTAGTAAAAATAAAATGCAAAATTACAACTTTATTCTTAATGCAAAGGCACCCTGAATTCAATGAACATCATAAATATATCCAACCCAAGGAGGAAAGTGAATGACCATTCAAGATTCTATGCTGGCTTGCAGTCAGAAGATGGGCAGACTTCTTAAATAGCAACCACAAAGTTCCAAAAAAACCCATAAATGTTGCTACTTGCACAGTTTGCAAACATTTTTTTCCATAGGGCCAATTAAAACTGTATTTTAAATATCCTTCATTACTATTTACATCAGATTTTCTACACTGGATATTTGTGTATGCTCAGTGTGTACTTTGGCACTAAGAGATTATTGCCACCACCCAGCATAAGATAAGGGACTGTAGAATCCCAGTATGTACCTTCCCCTCCTCCCCTGCTACAAGTGGACAGCTATGCAGCTCTGAGATAAGCTCCGAGCAGGCATAAACACTTCAGTAAGGCACTCCATGGTGACCCTGTAAGCAAACCTGACTCTCCCCACCCATGAGATAACTAGGGCCTTGATGGGAAGAAAAAACAGTGATGTCTTCAAAGCCCTTCCTGTTCTGCTCTTTCCCAGTGAGAAGAGCCTGCTAGATGCAACGTGACTTTGGGTATCTAGATCAGCTTCTGTGCATTCTTTTCTAGATTTTCTGAGCACTAAATATTTGTTAAGAAAATAATACTCTTGTTTTGTGCCCTTCTTTCCCAGGCTGCTTAGGGGTGAGCACTGTGGCCCAAGAATTTGGTAGTCCCTTCCTCTGCCCAAGGCTTTGCTTGGATTTGATAGTTTTGGTGAAATCTGTTAATTTTTGGATTGTTGTTGTTTGTTTCGTTTTTTATTTGTTTTGCAGTGCTAGGGATGAACCCAGGGGTTCTCTACCACTGAGTGACACCCCTCAGCCCTTTTTATTCCTTAATTTAAGACAGGCTTTCACTCAATTGCCCAGGCTGGAATCCTTCTGTCTTCGATTCCTGAAGCTGGATCACAGGTGTGTGTGTGTGTGTGTGTGTGTGCATCTAGCAATTTCTTTTCTTTTTCTTTAAATTTTTTTTAGCTGTTGATGGGCTTTTAATTAATTTATTTATATGCTGTGCTGAGAATTGAATACAGTGCTTCACACGTGCTAGGCAAGCGCTCTACCGCTGAACCACAACCCAACCCTCTTTTTTTCCCCTTTTAATCTAATGTTAAGACTGTTACTTTCCTTAAGGTCCAGCCTATACAGAAATCAGTTACTCCATACTCAGATCATCTTTATTACAATTTGGGTTAGACAAGATAATACATTTAGCCAATAGCTACAAGCAAGAGAAACACAGTCTGAAGTTTCAAATACTAGCAAATATATAAAAAAGTATCATATTATCCTGGGTATTAAAATTTTGAACTTGTACTATAAAGAGCAGCAAAGTGATGATTAAAATGTAGATCTATGATTTTCAAACTTACTGTGATTCACAGTTAAGAAATAACATTTTACATCATGACTATATATATACATTTGGACATTCACATATAAATAAACAAATGATAAGACTACTTACCCTTACTACATAGAATAAATTCTAATATTTTCTTTCTTTACTACTTCATTGTTTAGGTTGGTTACAACCAACTAAGTTAATTTCATAACTCACAATGTGAAGAAGCACTGATTCAGATAGACAATGATTCTTAAGCTTTCTTTGTGTACTGAACATTTCAAAATATTAAAATTTGGGAAAAGGTATTAGAAAGTATCAAAAGACTCAAAGAAGCTATGCTCAGTGGTGCACATATGTAATCCCAGCAACTTGGGAAGTTGAGGCAAGAGGATTGCAAGTTCGAGGCCAGCAACTTAGTGAGACCCTAAACAACTTAGGGAGAGCCTGTCTCAAAAAAAAAAATTTTTTTTAATTGAAAAGAGCTGAGGATGTAGTTCAGTGATAAAGCACCCCTGGATTCAATCCCCAGTACTCAAAACAATAAAGCTGCTAGTAATCATTATAACACAAGTATCATTACAGTTCAAGTGTCCTATAGCATAAATGAAATTCCCCTACTCCTCATCTGCTTTTTAGCACAGCTAGTTGTTTGCGGGATCTGTCACTGCCCTGCTCAATCTCTCTTAAGGCACAGTCCTCACCGTTCTAGAAGCACCTACTGGGTCTTTGGCATAGGCCCAGCAATATGATCCTCCAATTGGAAGGTTGGGTCCCATTCCACGATTGTCACAAAACCTGAGTGCCAGGTTCCATGCACCTTATAAGGAGCACACAATGACCCAGTGTTCTGTACATTTGCAACAATAATCCCATCTCCACCTGTCAACTTCCTGAGGAGTTTGTTATGTTCTAGAGAGCCAGGGCCTATCATTGAGATGGCCCAGATAAACACCAACAATGAGTTTAGAAGAAGTGACTGTGGTTTACCAGGAATTTTTAGATGATACATTTTTAAGCTTCTTTTCAGAACTGCTATCAACATTTCAACCGCTGTGGAAGACTATTACTCTTTTTCCTAGTCCCACAGCAAGAAAGTTAGGTAACTTTGATGACTGTGTCAGTTGCCTGGCCATTCTTTTCAAAAACTGCACTTTTACCTCAACATGGCTTTTGTGATTTAACAGTTCATCCTGTTTTCAATAGGTGGACACGATAACCTTTATTTTATGTGGTGCTGAGGATTGAACCCAGTGCTTCAGGCGTGCTAGGCAAGTGCTCTACACTGAGTCACAAACCCAGCCCCCAAATAGCCTGTTTTTGAAACTATCTTTGCAAAAGAATTGAATTCAAGTATGCTTTCACCCCATCACATTTCACTTGCTGATGCCCAACTAGCCAGACACAGCCATGACCCTGTCAGAAGTAATGGCTTACAAAAAAAAGTCAAGAAGCAGCATAAACTACATAGCCCCCAGGGCTCAGGCCTCATAATTCATAAGAAGAGCTCTTGGTCACCCTGAGAACTGTCATGCTTTGTCCGGTGACTTGGCTCCCTGATCAAACTGTGTTTATTTTTGTTATCCATATGCAATCTCCTTCCATGGGATGGGGTGGAGTCGGGGTGTACTATATAATGGGACGGCAGAAAAACAAGGCCACATGTTTAATGTCTCAGGAAAAGTCCTAGCTTCACTCCAGTATAATCTTAGGTAAGTCACCTAAGCCTTCTAGACCGACTTCCCTCATCTGTCACTTAGTAAACCTCAGAAACATCTTGTGAGGACAAATGAGCATGCTTTTAAAAGTATACAGCACTCTGAGTGCTGGGGGCACAGCCCAGGGGTGGAGCTCTTGCCTAGTGTGCACAAGGTCCTGGGTTCCATCCCCAGTACATCAAATAGAACCCCAACCCTCTCCACCAAACCCGAAAGCCAAGATCGCTATTACAACAAAGATATACCACTACCGCTAGCCAGTCCACAAGCATGTACCTAGCACCTACTTCATAGGAGGGACTATCCTTTCCCAAAGTGGTTCAGTTGGAATGAGGAAACAAACACAAAAACGAGAATACAGGAGAAACCACAGGGCTCATTAACTGCTCTGAAAGGAATGCAGATTCCCATGGGGAGACTATGGCCCTGGGCCTCATAAGCTATTAGGGCCTGCAAGGGCAGCAGCGTCTGCACAGCCATGCAGGGTATAGGGCATGCACAGAGGCCAGAGGCTGAAGAAACGTGTTCAAGCCCAATGTGGCCGCAAGACAAAGTTGAGAAGGGATGGGAGGCAGCAGGCCAGCTACAGGGAAGCCTCCAGGTTACTGCCTCCTCCGGAGAAGCTGGCCACACCCACGCCCTCTTCTGATGGGTCTTCATGCCCTGTGGTCTCATCCTCTGCTTTTCATAGCTGATCACCCAGGCTGAAGTAACAAAGGAAGTCATGATAGCCTGTCACAGAGGCAGCAGCCTTTACACCACAGGAGAATGACTCACTGAGCCAGTCACATCTCCCGGAGTGGGAGACAGAAAAGCGTGCAAACCACAGGGGAGACACGGGAGATGCATACAAGTATGGCCTGGGGAAGCTTGAGGTGCGAGCCGTGACCAAGCAGGAGTCTGGAGGGATTGAGAGGCGGGGAAGGGAGAGAGCAGAGCTGGGTCTCCAGAAAGGGGGCACTGCCACTGCAGGGCCTCTGGGGACTCTGGCTCCTGAGAGCTTCTCCTGGAGGCTTAGGCAGTATTTGTTTCCTGCTTCCTTCTCCCTGTGCATCATTTCCTTAACCTCCTCACTAACCTGGCTGCATATCAGACTCACCTGTGGAATTTTATTTTATTTTATTTTTGTACTGAGGATTGAACCTAGGGTCAATGAACCACTGAGACACGGCCCCAGCCCTTTTTATTTATTTATTTTTATTTTGAGACAGGGTCTTACTGAATTGTTTGGGGCCTAGCTAAATTGCTGAGGCTGGCTTCCAACTTGTGATCCTTGCTTCAGCCTCCCGAGTGCCTGGGATTACGGGGGAGCACCATCACATTGGCTCACCTGTAGAACTTTATAAACCACAGATTCTCAGCCTCCCCCCAGAGTTCCTGAAGCAGAATTGCCATGCATGGGCCCAGCGGGTGTTTTCTTTAACTCCACAGCTGATTTCAATATTCTGTCCTTATTGAGAACTGAATTAAGGCAACCTGAGCATGCACTTCTACTTCCTGCACCCTTCACAAAGCAGACTGTGAATCTCAATCATTTAAAATCTTATATTGGTCTTAATCAGTATTTTAAAAACATGCAAAATTGTATTTACCTGGAAAAGCAAACTTCACAACAGCCTAGCAAAACTGTTTATTTGAACAACACCTAGGTCTTGGTTCCTGTTCAGTAATATATCATTACAACACTTAGCATTTATAAAGCATTTTAGCCATCTTTTGAAGACTTGCTAGGTGTCAGACATGGTATTAGGCTCTTGGTACACATCTGCTCATTTACAACCCTAATGACTCTCCATGGATCACCCCCATGTTAGTGGTGATAAAATATAAATTCAGAAAGGCAAAACCAAGGTTTAAAAATTTGTGAGGACAAGGACTTAAACTCAGAACTGTCTGACTACAGGCCTTCACTGTACTCTCAGGATATTTGTTTGAGTCTCACAACTAACTCCCTGGGGCAGGCAGGTATTATCATCTCCTCCATTTTAGGGATATAAAGACAGGCCAGGGGAGGTCCTCTTGTCCAGTCATCCCAAAACCAGACAGGAGGATTTGAACCTGCTGCTCTGACTCATTCCACACAGCCTCACAGATCCAGCAGAGAGGCTGGGCAAGAATGGGCATGGTTCCTGCAAATGGGGAAAAGGATCACTCGTTTACTGACCCAAATCATTTATTCCAGATCAAACTCAGGTTGAAAAAAAAAATTATCCTAAAAATAAAAAAGGTTTAAATATAAGAAATGAACCTCTTTGATTTGACAAATTTCAGTATCTGCCTTTTATGGCCCTGGACCCCACTGTACCCCCAAATAGTTTCACAGACCCTTCTCCACATGACATTTTTAGCATAGTTTCTAATTAAAATGTATAGATTCATTTAAAATCTTGACAATTCAGAGTAGCTTTTTAATCACATTTTCTCAATTACAACATTGTTTGCATACTTTTAAACAACAGATACATTTAGGCTGAGATCATAAATATATATAATATATATTGGGGGAAGGATGCTGGGGAATGGACCCAGAAGTGCTTTACCATTGAGCCACATCCCTAGCCCTTTTAATTTTTTGAGATAGGGCCTCGCTATGTTGCTGAGGCTGGCCTTGAACTTTCAATTCTCCTGCCTCAGCCTTGAAAGCTGCTGGGATAATAGAATAGGGATGCACCACCATGCCCGGATTATGCTGAGATCTGATATTTATGCAGCCTATAGAAAAAAAATTTAAGTCCACAGAATAAATCATGGCAGGATCCAAGGAGTTAAAATCCTTCTGTAACACTTGTAAATAACTTCTTCCAGATATTTCCAAATTATATTAATCTTTAACATTCTCCGGTTGTTTATAGAAAAACAGCCACCCAAATGCAGACCAATCTTTGCCCGTAAAGGTCACAGAAAACATTTTTCTTATCTCACGTTGATAAAACTCACATACTCACTTACTTAAAAATGATGACAACAGGACTAGGAGTGTGTTGGTGTCTTCATCTCCAAAGCACGATGAAGCCTTTGTGATATTCTCACTGAAGTTCCATAAAGTTTTGCAAACCAAGCAGGCCAGCTGCCAATCAGTAGGACCAAAATCTCTTAAACAATCCACCAACCTGAATTAATGAAAAGTCAAATTGAGAAGTTAGTAAGTCAGAAGTTATTACATATTTAAGTAGCCACAAAGTAACAATATCCTTTTTTCTTTTTTTTCCCTTTTTTATCAGGGGTGATGGAATCCAGGGCCTCACACATGCTAGGAAAAAACTGAGCTACATCCCCAGTGCTTTTTATTTTTAATTTTGACACAGGGTCTCACCAAATTGCCTAGGCTAACCTTGAATTTGAAACTCTCATGCCTCAACTCCCCAGGGTACTGGGATTACAGGTGTGCACCACTGTGTCTGACGATAACCCACTTTGGAATTATTTCAAATGTCCAATGGAACCAAAATCTCTCGTTAGCTCCAGCTTGGGGCTTCCAAATGTGAAATCCCTTTGCCCCAAATGAATGACAGGAGGTACTTACGCCTCTAGGAAAACTATGTCTTCGGAATCTGAGTCAGGATTCCATGCCTTAAAACTTACTTTTTAATGCCGCCTCCCTCTTTGAGGATGACCCGCTTGTCTTTATCCACAGTGAGATTGAGGAGAACACCACAGGCAGAAAAGCAAATGTCCTGATGCTTAGCATCCAGCAGCGCAATCATGAATTTATGTACTGGGAAGGCAGAGAACAAACGCAGATGGGAGAGAGCTCAGGGGTCCCAGCTGTATCTTGTTTTAGCACAGCACAGGGCAGGCATGGAGCGCAGTGGGATGGCTTAAGAAACCAGAACCCCTGTGAGTGGGCTTATGGGCTTAACCCATTCTTCCTGTTGGTCTTTTAGTCTTCTGTTTTTTTTTTTTTAATGATGCTGAGGATCAAAGTCAGGCCTTGTGCATGCATGCTGGGCAAGTGCCCTACCACTGAGCCAGATCCCCTCATTCTTCCTAAGTCTGTATTCATCTTCCAGCAGTGGGTTCCCCAACACTCACCACCCTGAAGCCTGCTCCCCAGCTTCCCTGGACCCAAACCACTAGAACTGACCCAGGTAGCAGCTCCCGGTCCCAGTTGTGATAGGTTCCCTTCTGGTGAAAAAGAGGGAACCTGTGACATCATTTCTACTTTGGGTTATTCTGAAGATACTTTTTTTTTTTTTTTTTTATACCGGGGATTGAACCCAGGGGCGCTTATGCACTAAGCCACATCCCCAGCCCTTTTTGTATTTTATTTAGAGACAGGGTGTCTCTGAGCTGCTTAAGGTCTCCATAAATTGCGCTGGCTTTGAACTCCCAATCTTCCTGCCTTGGCCTCCCAAGCCGCTGGGATTACAGGCATGCGCCCAGCCTGAAGAGAATTTTGAACCTCCAGGAGCAACTCTTTAAACAGAGTCCGTTTCTGACCAGAAGTTCCCTGATGCGTCCCCAGGGCCACGTATAAGAAAAGATGCTTCGACTACTGGAAACCCACCTATGACAAGGCAGGGCTTTCACTGTAGGGACATCTTAGGGCAGGACAGGCTCTGGCCCTGGTGGATTTGTGTTCCCGTCTTCCTAGGAAATGAAACTGGGAACTGCTTGTCCTGCGTTCTGGTCCCCTGTGGGGATTAGCAAAGATTTCGGGGGGAGTGGATACGTGGTGTGCTCCACCTGCTCCTACTTTACAGTACACCTGTGAGGTTCTGCTTTGTTCTGGCCTCAGCCCTACTGACTGGGTGGGGCAATGAGCGTGTCAAAGGCTACATCACATACATGAGGGTCCCAAAGAACGCACACCAAAATGTTAGCAGTTTTCTGTGGGGCAGTGATATATGGCGATGGGTGACAGTTTGAGGCGGCTGCTGCTGCTGCTTTTTATAAAATTTGCATTATCTAAATTTTCTATCTTGAATATGGATAATTAGATTTTTTAAATTATTCTTGCATGGAGTATGTGAGATATACAAAGAGGACGGTTAGTATAAACACTTGGGTACATGCCACCCACCTAGTTTAAGAAATAGAACATTACATTTGAAACATGTTGTACACCATAAGTATATACAACTCTTATTTGTCAACTAAAATAAATAAATAAAACATTATACAGATCCAGCTTTATGTCTTTGGACATCTCATCCCCTCTCCAAAGGTAAATTCTGTCTTAAATATGGAATTTGTCATTTCCAAACACCATTTATGCTTTATATCATTATTACATGAATACATATACATAAGCAATACCCAAGAGAGTTTTGCATGTTTAAAACTTATATCGGTGGCATTATTCTCTGTATATCCTATTATCACTAGCTTTTTGCTCCTGTTTAAGTGTTTAAGTGATCTATATTGTATTTATCCTCTTGGCTGCTGGTGGACATTTGGGTTGTTTCCATTTTTTTTTTCAATTATAAGCAAAATGTAATAGACATTCTAGTGCATTAAGGAAAATGTCTCTTGAACCTGTCCCTATGGGAAGAAATGGTGAGTGTAGCTGACTTATTTCCATTAAACACATTGCCCTTCCCATGTCAGCACTTGAAGGCTACTCACAAGGGAGAGGGGAACATTGCCTAGGTCCATCCCAGCTTCCTGAGCTGAGCACCTCACATACCGGACAGGATATAGAGTTTTACATGTCTCAAAGCAGAAACATGTATCCCACTGAAACCATTTAGCTGCTAATTGGCAGAAGTGTGTGCTTATGAATTGACGTGTCATTAACTTACCATTGTTCTGCACAATGAAATCACAGATGTCGTGGTCTTGGGAGAGATTTCCAAAAACACGCACAGCTTCCAGGATTCCATCCATGTTGTTACTCACAAGAAGGTTTAAGAGCACTGGATTTGGTGACCAGAAAAATAAAATCAATTCATTTAAGTTTTAATGTATAGGCTAATGGAGACCAATCTCATACTAAATACTGAGAACTTAAAAATGATAATAAAAGGGGCTGGGGATGTGGCTCAAGTGGTAACGCGCTCGCCTGGCATGTGCGGGGCACTGGGTTCGATCCTCAGCACCACATAAAATAAAAATAAAGATGTTATGTCCACCGAAAACTGAAAAATAAATATTAAAACAATTCTCTCTTTAAAAAAATGATAATAAAATACAAACTTTAAGAGATTTCAGCAAGAACTAAGAAACTAATTTCCCCCCACTTTTTAATTTTTTAAGAGTCAAATCAAGCTCTAAGATATTTGGACATCAGAAAATAGTAATGCCTCCAGTTCTGTGTTTAGTTAATAAAATCAAAACCATCCAAAAACAACTCTGAACCTTACATTGAGCAATAGATAGCTTTTTGTCTTGGATTATGGAATTCTTCACTTGGTAGAAAGACAAATTGTTGATTGTTGCTGTAGTATTGATCACCAGCTCCTCACACTCATCGAGGGACTTGTATTCTGAAACAATGTGGGGAGAGAGGAGTCAGAGACACTGTGCTCTGTGCGCTGTGCGTGGGTAGAGGCAATGCCACAGAACCGCAGCAGCAGCAGAGCTGGGGACAGACTGCAGCCCAGGCAAGGTCTGTGCACAGGAAACACTGTTTGACACTTTATTTCCCATGACTCTTCCTGCAGGGAAAGGCACCAAATGCAAGGGGCCACTCCTGGTCATGGCGGGCAGGGCACTCAGCTCCATCCTGCATCCAGGGTATCTGGGAGGGTCAGCCAGTCTAAACCCTGTGTCTGAAGTAAAGCACAGGAAAAGAAACCTCAGTTGAACTGTCTCCGATGCCAGCAGTGTGCCCCTGGCCTCAGGTCCCTCAGGGACTCCACCAGGGAATCTACACTGTTCCCCATGCCCCCACTTCCCTACAAAATAGTCCTTAGGTCATGATCCACCCATAACCATCATGCTGCTTCTAAACACACAAAATCAATCACATCCCCTCTCCACTATCACCCCAGGCCATCCATCTTCCACCTCTACTAGCTTCTCTTCTTCCACTTTTGCATCTAAATCTTTTTTGGTACCAGGGATTCAACTCAGAAGCTCTTGACCACTGAGCTACATACCCACCACCCACACCCCCTTTTAAATTTTGAGACAGGGTGTCACTAAGTTGCTTAGGGCCTTGCTAAGTTGCTGAGAATGGCTTATGAACTTGCAATGCTCCTGCCTCAGACTCCCAAGCTGCTGAGATTACAGGCATGTGCCACTGCGCCTGGCTCGGAACCTATTCTTCACTCAGTGATCTTTTGAAAGTAATTTAGGGGCTGGGTGCGGCAAGACCCTGCTAGGTGCAATGATCCTTTAGAAGTAACTCAGCGATACCCTGACTCTAAATAAAATACAAAAAAAAAGGCTGGGAATGTGGCTTAGAGTGGTTGAGTGCCCCTGAGTTCAATCCCCTAGTACTAAACCAAAAAATAAAAAATAAAATAAAAATAAAGAAAGTCAGCCAGGGGCTGGAGATGTAGCTGAGTGGTAGAGCCCCTGGGCTGCCCTTTCCTCACCTCCCAGGGCTCCAGGGCCAACCACACCAGTCTCTTTGCTCTTTTGAACTCATTATCAAGACCCTGCCTGAGAACCTTCGCACCACTGACCCTTCTGTTGGGAACACTCTCCTTCTAGGTGTTAAGCATCCTCTATGAAACAGCATCTACTATTCTCTTCCCCTCAAACTGCTTTAATTTTCTCCACAGCATGTTTGACTACCTGTCATTAGGTGTGCTAAATGTTTGTCTTCCTGCCCTAAATTATTGGGTCCAAGAGAGCTAGATATTTATTTATCTTATTCACTGTTGCATTCCCAGCACCTAGAATAGTGTCTGGCACACAGTGGGTGCTCAATAAGTTGCCGAATGTGAGAATGAAGGAACAAATCAGTGAACGAAACTTCAATACTCAAGTCCTGAGATGATTTTGCCCCTTCACCACTGAATCACATCCCTAGACATTTTTATAGTTTTATTTTGGACAGGGTCTTGCGGGTTTCCGTGGGGTCACTGGATTGCAGAGGCTGACCTCAAACCAACCCTAACCCCTGGCTTCAATTCCCAGTGCCAAAACTAAGTAGCTAACTAAATACACCTTTTCTCTTATTAAGCCAATTGTCTCAGGTATTCAGTGATATAAAACTGACTAATACAGATGTCAAACACATTCTCTGAATTAAGTGAAATAATGTGCAAGAAAAGGGAACCAATTTGTGGGACAGGTCATGAGTTTAGCTTCAGATCTTTTTTCTTTTCTTTTCTTTTCTTTTTTTGTACTGGAGATTAAACCCAGAGGCACATTACCACTGAGCCACATCCCCAGACCTTTTTATTTTTTATTTTGAGACAGAGTCTAGTCTCACTAAGTTGCTTAGGGCCTCACTAAGTTGCTGATGTTGGTCTTGAACTTGTGATCCTCTTGCCTCAGCCTCCTGAATCACTGGGATTAAAGATGTGTACCACTTTGCCCAGCTCAGTTTTGAAATATCTTAAGGACCTCTTGAAGCACTGTCCAAGAGAAGAGGGACAGGCAGTTGGCTGTAAGGGTTGGAAGTCACAGGAAGTGTCTGAGCCTGGTAATACTAAGCTAGTTATAGCAACTTGAACAGCCCTCTACCTCCCACCCCACACATGTCCACCTAGGGCCTGGATGCCCTCTCCAACTTGCCACCACCTCCTCCAGAAGCCCTGCCCAGCCAGAGGAAGCCACCTCAGCACCTGAGCACACCTTTGGCCATAACCAGCCCTCAATGTTTTATTGGATAGGAAGTGATTTTTACCTCTTGGATGAAACCAATGTTCCTCAGGGAACAAGGAGGGGGATGGTGAGCTGAGTCAGAGGACTGCTAGCCCTTAAACTTTCTGATTTAATGGTTGCCCTTTGGCCTTCTCTTCCTTTTCATTAAAGAGAACAGCCTTTTAATAACTTACTACATTCAAAGCAAAATGCAGTCATCTTTTACGCTACAGGAGGTGCATTCTGGCCTTCAGCCAGCGCTCCCTCCACCCAGAGCAGTCAGCACAGGGCAAGTACACAGGAGACATTTCATAAATACTAGGAAAAATTTTCAGAAATGAGGCCCTAACTGCCTTCTTTTTGGATTAAATACTTGGAAGCAGATAAACCAAAAACAAATTATCTTGGGCTTCCGAATGGATTCTTGAACTTGCAAGTTGGAAGTCCAAGATCAAGGTACCAGCATGGTTAGGTTCTAGTGAGGGCTCTTTTCCTGGCTTATAGAAATATCCTAGTGGCTCTAGGATTTTAGGAGACCTACACAAGAATCTCAATGGTTTTTTGAGCAAAGAGAGGTAAAAGAAGGTTCACAGAACCCCCTGCTTATTTTTACCATGATTCACACGTCTCAGTCATTTTGAGATGCCATAATGAAATATACATGGCTTAAGCCAACAGAATTTGATTTTCTCACAGTCTGGAATCCAAGATCAGGGTTCCAGTGTGGTCAGGTTCTAGTGAGGGTCTCTTTCAGACTTGGAAATGGGGCACTCTGGTATCTCATGAGGGCACGAATCCCATCATGAGGGCCCCACCTCATAACCTCATCTAAACTAGTTATCTCTCAAAAGCCCCGTCTCCAAACGTCACTACATTAGGGATTAGGTCTTCAACAGGTGAATTTGATGGTGGTGATGGAAGAACATAATAAAGTCTGTAGCAGCATCCTAATACCCTATTTTATAGATAAGAACACCAAGCTTAGAGAAGTCACATGCCTTGCCAGAATTCACAGAGCAGATATCTGAATCCAGGTCTCTCTGACTGTCCGACACTCTCCATAGCACCCTACTGAGGCTAAGGACCTATTAAAGCTGGCTGGGGTAATACTCCGCTTCCCATAAGCCAGCGAGTACCAGGCTACCTCTGTCACTGATTCATGAATGTAAGGGGATCTGGAATTTGGAGTTTATACCTAAGGCAGCAAATCTCTGAGTCTAGGGGCCTCTTGAGAGAGATGGCTCCTACCAGAAATATTTGATTTTTTTTTAATTAAAGAAACATTTGATTTTTTTTTTCTCTTGGCACTGGGAATTGGACCCAGGGGAGCTCCTCCCACTTCACCCCAGGCTCTTTTTATTTTTTACATTGAGGCAGCATCTAGCTAAGTTGCTTGGGGCCTTACTTAAGTTTCTGAGGCCAGCCTCAGTCATTTAGCAAGATCCTATCTCAAAAAAGAAAAGGAAGAAAGAAGGAAAAAGTGCTGGGGATGTAGCTCAATGGTAAAGCACCCCTGGGCTCAATCCCAGTATTGAGGAAAAAAGAAAGACCCTCTGTGGTGAGATTGGCTGCTAGAGATGAGTCTTGGGGTATAAGCAACTCCTCTGGGAGGGGAGCAGGGCTGGGGTGAGGTGGAAGGAGTGCCTATCCTGGGTTTAAGCAGAGCAGCAACTGCCCCAACTCTGGGTAAGTGGGCAGTCCCTTTCCATGGTCACAATCTGGTGCTCACGTGGGGTTGCCCTAAATTACCCATCAGAGAGGACAGGAACTTGGAAGCTGGCTTCCTTCTCTGGGAACCTGATCACCGTTCCATATTGATATGGATAATTCAGGTTGGAAACCAGCAGAGACCTTCCTTCTAAGATGGATTAGGATGGGGACTCAGAAAGTAATTTAGTCTTTGGGCCAGGCACAGCGAAGGTGGAGGTGGGTGATCCAGGCAAGTGTGACTTCTGCCCTCTTATAAGGTTTTTGGGAAACAAAAATCTTTCAGGAGATAAACTAGACAAGGGTTCACCTGCTTGCCAATTGCCCCAACTTGTTGGAGAACCCCAACTAATCCCGAGAGTCTGCCCAAACTCGCACGAGGGCAGACACTGCAGACCGAAGCATTTCTCAAGGAAGGTCTTCCGCCACCTGCATCAGGACCAGCCAGGGAGCTTTTGAAAATGCAAATTCCTCGGCCCCACAACTAAGGAGGTGAATCACAACCTCTGAGGGTGAGGCCAAGAATCTGTCTCTTTAATAAACTCGCCAGATGAGTCTCATGTGTATAGAATTTTGAAAACCATCGAATAAGAGTTCCATTGGTCACTTAAGAAGACAAGTAGGCCATTTGTGAGCTCCATTCCACAAGGGGGTACAATGGAGAGACCTCACTGGGGATGCTCTAAATGACCAAGGCAGACCACCCCACTCCCAGAGAAACTTGTGATGGAAGCATGGAGTAAACAGGCCCAACTAAGGATGCAGCCAGGGGACACATGCTCAGCCCCCTGGGTCAACACTTTTTCTTGGGTCAAATCTGCTTCCTGGACTCTTTTTTCTGTCCCAAAGCATAATCTTCTTTTGAGTCAAAAGCAAGTTATTAGCTGAGTATGGTGGTACATGCCAGCAACCCAGGAGGCTGAGGCAGGAGGAGGGCAATTTAGTCTCAGCAACTTGGCAAGACCCCGTCTCAAAAGAAAAAAAAAAGGGGGGAGGTGGGGAGCAGAGGGTGCTGGGAATGCAGATGTAGCTCAGTGACAGAGTGCCCCTCTACCAAAAAAAAAAAAAAAAAGCAAGTTATTCACTCTACCTTTAGCTTATAGGCAGAAATTAGAAATGTAACCATCATAAAATATATGATGCCAGCAATTCCTCCACATTATATGTGAAGATTAACAATTGTGGGACAGTGAATCATGCCTAACTCTACTCCTTAACTTGGCTACTCACAGCACATATCCCCAGTCCAAGTGTCTGAGGTCTGGACCAGGGAGATGGGAACTACTGGATGAGTTTTCCTGTGTTGCAGGTTCAGCTTCTTTACCTGGCCAAATTACAGTCTGGGAAAAGGGTTGGGTCTGCAACAGAGGAGAACTCACCGGGTGGGTTGTGGGCTTCTGCTAGTTCGTCAGGAGCCAGACAGGCTAATGGTAATAATTCCCTGAAGCAACTTGGAAAGACCCTGTCTCAAAAGAAAAAAAAAGGGGGG